TGAGTGAAAGAGTGGAAAAGAAGAACTAAATAAAACACTCTCCGATGCTTAAACAGATGACCTCGGTGCTGTCTCTGAACTCTCCATGTTGCTGTTATTTGTGGACGAAATGACCTTATTCGGCAAAATGCTTGTTGATAAGTTTAATTGAGCAAGATCGATGTTTTTTGTGGATGGCAAGAAAGTAGTGTAGGTGATCTGGATAGGCAAAGAAAGTAGGCAGGAAGCTGGGAGTACCATTCAGCCCCTGTGCCAATGCCAGCTCTTCCTTGAAAGGTTCCTTGTCTCCCTGTGCTGGAGTGTTCTGCCCTCCTCATTTTCTCATCCTCTGTAAATATTTGTTGACCCAAATACTTTTGCATTTTGGACCTGCCTGTTTTTTCTCATTGGAAACTGTTTGTAAAAATACATTTTTTTTTAAGTATATCTGTGGGTGAAGTTAATTAGTATTCAAGATATTTTGATCAAGTGCTTGCAAAAATCACGTAAAATACAAACCCCAGATTAACTGAGATCATCAGACTCTGATGGCTTTGGTGAACATCATTTCCAGATTTTCCCCCAAATTCCCAATTTGAGTAGATGGGTACTTAAGCTAGTGGCATCATTTCTTTATTGGTGAGTGCTGTGGGCTAAATGTGTCTCCCAAAAGTTCATGTGTTGGAGATTTGTTCCCTCCCGTAACAATGTTAAAAAGGTGGGAATTCCAGTTATTATATTTGAAAGATGGGGCCTTTGAGAGGTGATTGGATTGTGAGGACCGTGCCCACATGAATGGATTAATCCGTTCATGGAGTAATGGTTTGATGGTCTAATAGGTTGTCATGGGCGTGAACTGGTGGTTTTATAAGAAGTGCCAAAAGAGCTGATGCCATCCTTGCCATGTGACTGCCTGCTTTGCCATAGGACCCTGTAGAGAGTTCGCACCCAGAAGAAGGCCCTCACCAGATGCGTACCCCTAGACCTTGGAGTTCCCGGCCTCTGAAACGGTAAGAAATGAATTATGTTTCTTTATAAATTACACAGTTTTGAGTATTGTGTTATAAGTGA